GAGCGCGCGCGCCTGAGCAGTGCCAAGTCGTCGGGGCGCCCCTCGGGCCTCTCTCTCGCGGCCGCCCGCGGGACGCCTCGCCCCCCTCCGAGCGCAGTCTCGGCGAGGCGCCGCTGCTGGACGCAGCCCGAGACTGAAGACACGCCCACACACGCCGACGAAATCGCCCACCCATCCCTCCTCGAGACATACCCCCCCTCCTCGAGACATACAATACATATGTATATATATATATAGAGAGAGAGAGAGAGAGAGAGAGAGACAGAGAGGCCTCCTAGATGGGGTCGGAGCAGATGGGATCGGAGCATCGCGCCGCATCGCCGATACATCGGCGATGCATCGGCGATGCACTGGCGATACATCGTCGACGTGGGCGATGCATCGGCGACGCCGGCGCGGAGAAAGTCGGGCTCCACATCAAGCCGCATCGGCGATGCATCGGCCATGCAGCGCAATCCTCCGACCCTATCTGTCCCGACCCATCTATGAGGCCTAGAATACAGCGTTCGCGATAACACCTGTTACCGGCCCCGCATCCCCCCCCCCTTTCCCCCTGGTGCAGTAGGGGGCCCGACCGCAAGAAGCCTTCCACAAGAAACCCAACCCTGAGACCCCAGGACGTCCATCGATATTTGGTGTGGGGACGTCACGCTTGCCATAGCAAAACCACCGGGAAACCCAAGCCCCCAGGGCACCCTGGAGGCGAGCAGAGTGTTTCTTGGCATGGGCCTCCACTGTAGCATTCGCGATAACACCCGCTAACTGCCCCGAATTCGCCCCAGCGCCGTCTGGGAGTTAGCCGTTCGTAAACATTCCCAGGCGGCGCCAACGCGAATCGAGACGTTACCAGCCCCCTTCCCCCTCCCCCTAGCCACGCCCGGATAACACTGTTACCGGGTCGTGACTCAGCTCTTCAGCGGCCATTCGTGCCGATCCAGGCACCCCGGGAACGCTCTCGGCGAGGCGCAGCTGCTGGCGAGCATCCCGAGGCTGGCAAACCGAAGAGACCCTACGAAAATACCGAAAACATCGAACCTCGAACGTTGCCCCCCCCACCCCTCCCACCCCGCCAGTCACGCCTGCTATTGCCAGGGGAGCCAGGGGACAAGTGGAACGCATCCTCTGGCTCTTCCGAGGCGGGATGAGGGGGGATTCTTGGGGCCATCCTGGTGCTCTCCTGGGGCCATCACGACGATCATGAGGGGCATGGGGCAGGGGGCCGAGAGGAGGAGGAGGAGGAGGAGGAGGAGGAGGAGGAGGAGGAGGAGGAGGAGGAGGAGGAGGCGGGAGGAGAGAGGAGGCGAGGAGGAGGAGGAGGAGGCGGAGAGGAAGATTAGGGGGCGGTGGGAGGAGCAGGCGGCGGGAGGCGGAGGAGGAGAAGCATCAGCAGCAGCAGCAACAGCAGGAGGGAGGCGGAGGAGGAGGAGGAGGAGGAGGAGGAGGAGGAGGAGGAGGAAGAGGAGGAGGAGGAGGAGGAGGAGGAGGAGGAGGAGGAATGGGGCCTCTTCGGGGCCCCTACACGTGGCGAGCGCCGCCGTCTGCCGCCCCAGGCCTCGCGCGGCGCAGTGGGCTGTCCCCCTTTGAGCATCGTTTCACCGATCCCCATCCCCAGCGGCGTGGCCTGGGCCCCACTGGCCGAGCTGCCCCCCTAGATGGGGGGATAGAGGCCGTCCCCTTCGGGTCTCGAGGGGCGTATCCCCAACTGGGGTGGCAATCTCGTGGGGGTCTCGAGATGGGGATGGGGATGGGGATGGGGGTCGGTGAAACGATGCTGATGTCCCCCTTCGTCCCACCCGCGTGGCGAGGACGACGTCGGCGCGGCCACGAGCCGCCGGGGATCGCTGGGCCGCGCGCCGCCCGGCCGTGCCCGGCGCTGGCCGGCCTCCGGGGGCGTCCTCGGGGAGGAGGGAGGGAGGCGGGGGCAAGGCACGGGGCGAGGAGCGAGGAGGAGCAAGGGGAGGGAGGAGGAGGAGGAGGAGAAGGAAGAGGAGGAGGGGGAGGGGAGGAGGGGAGGAGGATGAGGAGAAGGAGGAGGAGGAGGAGGGATGATGATGAGGAGGAGGAGCAAGAGGGGGGAGGAGGAGGAGGAGGAGGAGGAGGAGCAGGAGGAGGAGGAGGAGGAGGAGGCGGCGGCGGCGGCAGCGGAGGAGGAGGAGGAGGGAGGTTTTATGCAGCGATGTTTCTTTGACCATCATGGTGGTGAGGGTTCGGCTCTCAGATCCGCTGGTACCATATACGGCCGGACCTAGGACAGAAGATTATCCTACAAGATCATGAGACCCTCCGATGGCCAGAACACACAGAACATCCAAGGGTATCCTGCCCAGGATGCACGAGACCATCCAGCAGACACGAAGGACATCAGGGCACCCTCCCCGAACCGACCTCGACCCGGTCCGACTGTAATGGATTTTGGTCGCTCCGAAGCGCGGTCGCGACCAGGGGAAGCCGAATTTCGGTAACGATGAGATGACACGTCGGGGGTCGAGCGAAAGCTTAG